ACTTCGCTATATGAAGCCCCACCAAGTCACAACTGCTTTCCTGGATTAAGATAACCAGTCGGATCGGCCGGCTTCGCCGATCGATCCTTGTTCCGCGTGTGAAGCGGGTCCCGGTGAGAACTTTTCCATGAGGGGGAGGGCCAGTCGGATCGGCCGGGACCTGCATATACCCCCCCCCCCTAGAGGACAGTCATCAAAATTTTCTATGCGGCAGTCCCCTTAGCCATGAGGAATCGCAGAAAAACTATTGCCGATGGCACCAACCATTTGGTATACCCCCACGGTAGTCCCACACTAACTTCATCTGCCAAACCATTGCCAGTTTCACCTTACTCCCCATTTCGTGGGGTTTTTCGGATGCAGTTTTGAGAATGCTTATCCTCGGCACCGTTCACTTCGGTACACGCCCCGCCTATTGAGGGCATACCTTAGGTTACCTTGCTTGTGCTCCTTGAAAATTGGCTCATCCCATGTCAATCCCAAATGTAGAATCCGTCCTACAGAAGCAGTTTTACATAGTCTTAAAATTTTAGGCGCACAGACAAAAGCACAGACACACAAACAGCCTCTGGTTTATATATAAAGATTTGTACTCATTCGCTTCTAGTCCCTACACTTGATTGTTCCAAAAGCACAAATGGCAGAAGTCTTCACTGCTTCAGAAAGTGTTTAAAGGCAGCGCCCGCATTCATTTGATGTTCCTACGCCCTCTTTAGATATGGTAGCTCTGTCGACAAGTGTGGAGAATGTACTAATTTCGCAGCTCAAAAGTACGAGCGGATAGAAGCCACCGCTTGTAAAGGATAAGACAGCCCGCCCACCTGCCAGCGTATGCGTTCTATTAGGGCATTTCCATGATTTTCTCTGCTTTTTTCTTCACTACTCAATCACGTAACATATTGAGCTCCATGACTCGTCATTCTAAAAACGGGCCCAGCCTTCAAAGCTAAGCCTAAGAGTGGCATGGCGCTAATGGGGCGGGCGGTCTCCCCTTCACAAGAGAGCTGCCCCATCCTTTCGTACTTTTGAGCTGCGAAATTAGTACATCTCCACCCTTGTCGAGCAGAACTACGATATCTGAGGAGTGGTGTAGGAACATCAAATGTATGCGGGCGCTGCCTTTAAAATTTGGTCCAAAGTTTTCTCTCGAGGCTGATCGATACTTCAGGGGCGAAGAGCATGTGTGCACTGTCTAAACTTCTCTCCCGTCCGCCGCCTGTGTAAACAGCGTCGTGAGTGATATGGACGGTGTGTCTCTAGTGTTACTCCCGGGAGCGGCAGTGATAGATTCTCCAGGAAGGCAGGGACCGGTCGTGGCATCCTAACTCATATATAACATATATATACACATACTCTTATATATTTCAAGCACATATTTCCTGTGCAATCGCCGTGGCTGTTTTTCACATTGATATTTGACCAGCAATGATTGATCTCAGGCGTAGATTTGTACACTGCCTGACTGGAACGAACGCGTGATCGCAGCGCTGTCGTCGCAAACTCTGAACGCTGTTTTACTGGTCAGTACAATGAGTACTAATAACTTAAAGGCAGTTGGCGCGATAAATCCCCAAAGGCGAGTAGGATTAATACGCCTGAAAAGACGGAATTACGCGTCCCTGAGGAGGAGCTGCGCATCGCCCTTTCCAACGAAGGTGTCCCTATAAGGGTCCTATCAAGGTTCAACATACCCACCCAAACGCCCACCCCGCCCGCCCCACAAATGGACGATCGTCTCTGACGCTCGTACTGATTTATTTGCTAAGCAAATTATGAAGCAAAGGGATTGGTATGAAGCGGCTGCTGTGCTGCTGGATATGTGGGTACACAGATGCAGTCGTATCTTCGGTAGCGATTATTAGTAAGATGCCCATGGGAAACTTGTTCCGAAATTGTTTTTAAATCATAAAAACGAAGGCATCTTCTTCGCAGGCTTTTGACCGTTTCACTCCGTTCTTTCGTCATTTTCCCCACTACATAGCGCCCTGCTGGCATTTCAGGACGAGTACCGAATTATCGTGCCAACCGCATTTAACAAGGGTAGTTCATGGAAACTGAGGTGCCGCATTGCGTGCAAACTAGCAGATCATTGTCTCACTAGATGAAATAGTGCGCTGCAGCATTGCCACGACGAGTCAGTTGGGTCTTACTGCAAGTGACGCCAGTTTCGCTCATCTGCACTTCCAAGTTACTAATTCACAAAGCGGTTCAACTCTTCCCTTTCGTTTATTTCTTAAATACATCTTCATTGCGGGGAAGCGTACCGCAGAAATCCGGCGATTCGGTGCCAGAAGACAGGGGAAGCTAGCTCGTTGCATTTTCTACCAGTGGTTTCCGGTTCAGGCAAAAACAAACGCTGCGGAAATTGAAGGATCCAAATGGCAGTGGATAAGTTCTGATGCAGCAATTATCTGCCACCGATATTACAGAGCGCCCTTCCGCAAATTTTCCAGTACTGCTTCTGTGCTCAGGAAACCTTGTTAGGGAAACATGCCAAGCAGGAGTATTAGTATTATTCAGTACTGGGGACTGAAGATATTCTGGTAAAGGGGTTATCATTTCGCACATGTTAAGTACAAATTGCGATTACGTGGTGATTTCCACGGAAAGACGGTGCATCACTTCTGGAATATAACTTACATCCCTTTCACGGTACTTGCTTAGGGTTACTGGCTACCGTTCTAAAACCTAAGCGCTGCTTTCACAAAAGAGTCTCAAACAGTAACACCTACATAGCATAACTTTATTGATATCTAAACGGCGAATTAAGACATTAACCAGGGCAGTTGGACTAGTGGGAAGATGTGGGAAACACGAAAACGTGGACCGGGAAGCGATACTAGTCGGTTTTATTCAACTAGTATGGCGAATTCCGACTCCTCGCACAGCAGAGGATTGCCAGAATATCCACACAATAATTGGAAGGTTCTGTAAATGGCAGGACGACACAAGGACGGCGGTGCTGTGAAGTGATTAAGTGCAGATGCTGTGCGGTGCAGTCGCATTCGCGAACGAACAACAAAAAGCCGAGACGACATATAGACGATCCCTTGGCAGTAACAGAGGTGTTTTGGCGTCAATATTTTATACAACAACTAAAAAAAGCTACACTGAAGCAAGGGTATGTGTGTGTCGATATGTAGACAAAAACAGAATGTAATAACACTATGGAAGCGTTAAACATTGAGCAGAGCACGGCATTTATGGCGAAGAGGCATTGAATGTGAGTGATCAGAACGCAGCCGAACGTTGAATGAGTGAGGCACGTTCCTGAAAGAAGTAATATTGTGTTCGGGCCCACACCCCATGAACTAAACACCTCATCGGGCTCGATCTCAAAAAAAAACCACCGTGGGTTTTTCTTCGGACTCTACTCAGCTATGAAATTTCACTGGAATTAGGTAAATCTTGAAGAGGAATGAAATTTCGAATGCTCCATGCGATCTCTCCACAGTGGTTTTCGGTCCTCTTTTCCGATTTCCGGCTGCAATGCAACAACTAAGACTGCGTTCATACTTTGCGGCAGCGTCTACCAGCGACCACTAGCGTTCCGAGCGTCCGGCAGCGTCAACGATTAGGATGTACAGGTTCGATCTAGCGTCTGCCAGCATCTACCAGCTTTCACCAGCGTTCACCAGCGGCCTGGAGTCGAGAGAATGGGGAAGTAGGAGGGCAGCAAACAGCTGAACTAGGCGTCGTGGAGCTGCGTCGTGTGCTACAGCCCCGCACAACTGCAAAGGACATAATTATGCAATTCAATTCAATTGTAGTGTAAGTGTACGGTGCGGTTGCACATGCCGCGATTTCACAACGATTTAACTGTTTGCTACAATTCTACTTCCCCATTATACATCCGTTCGCTGGTGAACGCTGGTGCGATAACTAAGGCTCCCTCTCTCGAGACGCTGCGGTGCACGCTGCCGCAAAATGTGAACGCAGCCTAATAAGACAATCCCCACCCCTGAACGCGGACCTTACCATGACAATATTGCGCAAGGATCTCATTGAATCGGATCTTTCGATTGCAGCCCATATCCCGGCTTCGAAAGGGGAGTGTATATGAACATGATATGAACGTGAGAGCGGCGACGGTAGACAGTTGGACAGCATGTACATAGGAGGCGGAAATCACAAGAAACGTCAATGCAGGGTTGGACCCCGGTGCCGATGCCGTATACGTCACCCCACTTTCTCCACGAATGGGAAGCGCTCCGCACCCGGAACGCTGATGGGCGTGGCCGCGTCAAAGTATGCAGTTATCGAGTGAATTAAATGCACAGAAGTCAGCAATATGAAGACAGCAGTCCGGCTACAATCGCGACTCATGACTGAATGGACTACAGGGTGAACTACTGCTCTCCTGGACATATCAGGCGTCGCTAACCAATTTCCAAATTGCGTGTGCTTTCATTGATGGTTGCCTTGCTAAGTACGCGCATTGACATTTTTATGCAGCCTGCGCGCCCCCTTTCTCACACGCTATTTACGTCTCCGCCCAAGCGGCAATTGTCTAACCGCCACCTCACAGCCAGAATTCGCGAACACTCCCCTCGCCTAGGTATCGGCTGTGCCAGTTGTCGTGTCCCACCGCTCTCCTGGACACTATAATTGCCCTAACCAATTCATGGCCCAATGGATTCGTTTCGGATTTACAGGCTGTTCCTGATTTTATTTTTTACTGAGTGTCAGCTAAGTTCCCAGAACCCTTGATCAACCCGCCCGGGTCAATCTTCGAGTACGACCTAATTACGCCTTTTTTGGCGCAAGATGTGAATTATGTTATTTCTGGCAGTCGACCGCTGCCTCATAAGTGTACTCACTGCTAAGGAAGAAATCCAGGACAAGCGACCCCACAGCACACCAGAGTCTTTATCAGGACTGCGATAAACACGCCATGTACCCACATGCTTCGGATTGGAGACCTTCAGCCCACCTCCCTCTCCCTCCCTTCCCCCTTCGTCCCGAGTGTTTTTGTCCCTTCTACGCAAATTCGGCCAAGTTCATACCTGATTCTGCTCATTGTAAAGACAGGTGCGTACATCACCACCGGTAGCGAAAGATTCTTCAGTTTCGAGTACCAATGAATGGGGTGGCGCATGAATTCCTCTGCCGCGGGCGTAAATCTGAGTATTGAGTATACTTTTCATTTACCATGGAGTAGATATGATTTTTCAGAAACGTACCGTTACTTTCGATTTCGGAGTCAACCTGAAATCTTTCGGGAACGTGAATTTTACAACACGATTAGAACCCGTGCTGCGAAGCTCCCAATCCCCAATCATTTCGTCATGAGATACGGACGTGTTTTCGATGGTGACAAATGATCCATTAGATGCCACTTCCTGAACATATTGGTTGATTAAATGAATTGTGAAGAGACAATCCCAGGAAAAGATTTAAAGACAATTTCCGCGATCGAGTGTCACGAGTAGTAGGTCCCCATCACGAGTAGTAGGTCCCCAATCATGAGCCAGCACCCTATAAGTGACTCTCCAGTAGAGAAAGAAGCGAAAGAAAACTTGAGGATAACTCTGGACAGAGACCCCCTTAGCAGGGGGGTCAGCGCTTTGGACGAGTTTGTCGGACGTCGACAAGCCCACCAGCAAGATTGGACATGCAACCAGTTCCCAGCAAGAGCACACGAAATTATCCTACGACGCTCCAGCCAACGCTATGCACACAAGCAGTTCCGCTTGTGAGCCGTTGTCTTGGAGAGTGAAAGTAATCGTGGTTGCAATAGTTGCAATAATCACGCGTCTCTAACTTCTTTATCTTTCGTTTCGAGTGACGAAAGGGCTATCTGTGCAAATGCGGACAACGGCCAAATGCATGGAGGCATTCGCCGACCACTTGATCGCGGGGACTGTTTTTTAAACAAATGTTAACGCTTACAGAGATGGAAACATTTCCTTGGGCAGATCGCTGGCTATCGAAACGGCTTGTACCGGACACGTGACGCATGGCACTCGAACGAACATGCACATCTGAAACAGCTGTAAAATCGATAATTCATGTTTCTGTGGTTTTTCAATACGACTCACTTAGTTTTCAATACTCTACAAGCATAACACTTACTAGTCTGTGTTGTAGGCTCAAATGAATGACTAGCTGTAGAGATGACTCGCCCATGTGTTCTGTTCTCTTCTCCTTCCAATAATTGACGGTACTTGCTAATCTCGGCATCGAGATTCTGAATCCATAGATAGCCGACGGATAAATCAAGAGCTCTTATCAGAATACCGGAAGAAATACTTACAACTTTTTCAACAATGAGTTTTTCAAGTTCAACGGTAATGGCTTGACATTGCTCTCGAACGGCTCGGATCTCATCATCTTTCTCGCTGAGGTGGGCCATCGAGACACGATTCTCATCCTCGATTTGATAGTAAGGTCTTGGATGAGCTTCTCAAGAATGTGATTCTAAAAGTGCCGCTCGATTAGGGCTATCCTACAAATCACAAGTAAATATGTAAATTTTTGGATGGATTCCTAACGAATTTCGGCCAGCTTTGAAAGCATGGAACGCGATAGGAGTGTAAGTAGCGGTTTTGAAGGACAGGAGCTGCCAGATGACTCATCCGTGAAGGAAATGCCCAAGGAATCCCCGGAAACGAACTTAGCACGAGCCCGCCAGCCGAAACAATTGTACGGGTAAAAGGCTGAAAGATCGCGTGTTGGGACGAGTGTAGTCGGCTGATAACTTCTAATGATTCCATCACCCCAAAAGAGAGAATTTAGCATCCATTTCATCTACTTGTCAGGTAGCAATGCTTTTGGCTAGAAGGCGGAGTCTGAGCCGGAGTTACTGGACAAGCTAGGTACCTCTGGAGCAGCTTTGCGTCTTATTTCTTCTACCCTACAACTTTTCGCTGCCAATGGCAAGAGAATGTCCACTCTTCACCTAACTACCCTTCCCACAGAATCTTTTGCATTTTCATAGCATCGCAGACCGTTCTTGCAATTCAGCGCTGATTCCAAATTCGTCATAAAAGGTTTGAGTTACCAATTAAATTTGATGCACTTACACGTCCTTCCAAATTGGCCAGCTTGGTTCGCATTTCAGTGAGTTCAGTACGGAGGGTCTTCACCTTCTCCTGAAGAGGTAGTGACTCGAAATTACTAGTAACGAGCTTCTATAGTTACATCTTGTTGTACCGTTCTTACGGTTGAAAGTTCCGTTCTTGTACTCACCTTGATGCTCGCAGCGTCAGCTGCATGACGGGCACCAGTGCGAATCTCAATCACCTGCTTACTGTACCACGATTCCATTTCGCTTCGGAATTTCGATGTGGCCTTAAAGGAGAACCCTCTGTATTGAGCGTATTCTCAGATCCACGATATTCCTGGAAAAGTACTTTATGGTACTATTTTGATGTACCTCATCGTAGAGTTTGCGGATTTCAGCGATAGCCTCCTGAAGTCCTTGTCTGAAGATGGCGCGATTCTCTTCAGTAGTGTCCGGAAGGGGTAAGTAAGGTGAGAGTGGACATTCTGCGTGCCATTGCCAG